CCCCCCCGCCAATAAAAATGGAGACAAAATCAAAATGCAAGACAAGAATAAATAAGTGCACGGACCAAAAATCAAGATCAGTTTCAAAAGTGAAGTTATGACATAAACGGACTGGCTTCCAGTTACATGCTGTCTAAAAATTCACATTGTTCTCGAATAGAAAGTACATTCAAATATGCGTTTCAACAGTAAAGTAAAAATGAGCAAAAATCAACACCAAATCACAGCTTAAAACAGTACATTTCTGGTCGTTACCCTGTGGAACATTTGTGCACTTCGCAGGTCGTTTTACTTTCTCTGTAGCTTATATGATCGATTAAATAATATCTTCTGTGTAAGACGATGCTGGGAGTTTAATAAGATTTCAACGGGATCAAATGCTTGCTTCTGGCGAGACAACGAGCATAGTCCCAAATACCAGTAACATATCTTTGAGAATCTTTGTTAAAAATAAGTTATAAACCGTCTCTCCACTCGGACAATAGCTAAAATAACAGTTGGCAGCTCAATAAAACACACCATATCAAAGCCGACACCAACAACACATTTTGACGTACCTCTCCAAACACGCTACCCTCACTGAGCGTGGCGTATACGGTGGAACCATCGTCTCCAACCACACTGAGCTTCCCTCTCTTCACGATGTACATTTCCCTGCCGATGTCGCCCTTTCTACAGATGTAGTCCCCAGGACTGAACACCTGAAGCCTCAGCTTGAGAACCAGCTCTACCAAGAGGCCAGGCTCGCAGTCCTGGAAAATACTCACTCTTTTTAAAGTTTCTAAGTGCACGTGGATAGCCATCTCTGCTTTCAACTTGTCCGGAAGGGCCGACAGGACTTCTTCCTCATTTAGAGACTGCTTGTTCGTCCACAGATAATCGAACCACTTGATCACCCTTTCCTCGAGCTCCTTGCTGACTTTTCGGAACTCCATGTACTGTTTTACACCGTCCATACGCTGCTGGAATTCGGAACGGGCTGCGTTCATGTTGGTAATCATACTCCCAACGTTACCCACGATGGTAGCGAAGATAAGCACTCCAATAAGAAAATCCCCAATAACGAACAAGTACTCCACGTCCCTCTCCGGTTGAGGTGTCTCCCCGATAGTTGTGAGAGTGAGTGTTGACCAATAAAAACTGTAGATATATTTCCTCGAAAGTTCTTCATAACCCCCCGTCAAATTTTTGTACACCCAGTTGTCAGTGCCAAACCCTATAGCAGAGCTTATGGCAAAATATATACATGCATTCCAATGGATGATAATCAAAATGTACAGGACGAGATGGAGAATACGAAACATGTTGGTGAAACTGGTTCTCGTCTCTGTTCTATCGAAGAACTCTAAAAGTCTCCGAAAGCGGAGCAGGCGGTTGAATCTGACGTAGGGGATATTTAATCCTTTGTTGAGGAAGTAAAAGAGGTCTGTAGGGAGAAGGCTGGCGATATCGATGTAAAACGTTTTGGTCTTCATGTAGTTTTTCCGAAGCTTGATTGGATCAACCACCATCAAGCCTTGTTCTAGGTAACCTGGGAAAAAAAGAAATAGGAAAAATGTAATCATTGTGTTTCCCTACAATCCCCATAAAATAATAATAATAATTCTTCCATCATGAACTGATGCTGCGTTTAACATCAGAGGGGGAAATGAAGTTATAGGCCTTGGCAAGAAGTTTACATGGCAAATAGAGTAAAGTAAATAAAAAGAAAGGAACAATCATCAACACCTCAGTTTGCCTCAGATAGCAAAGCCTTTCGCTAATGTTGTTTGAGGTCGAATACTAAGAAATTCGATTCTCATCCTTCAGAGTATGCACTGGGTTTATAGGAGCTTCAAAGGCAAACCAATACTTTTGCTAGATTTTTGGTCTTTTTTATGGTGAAGATTGAAGTGCCAAAATAGATAGTGATCAGCTATATTTGTTTAGGCCACATGAACAGGTACACCTGTTTCTTTTAGTAAGAGTTTTACGGTGCTTGCAACATTACTATGTCAAATAAGTGCCGGCTTAGAGGAGTTACAAGAGATTAAGAAACAATGAAGAAGCAAAGCACATAATAGAGACCTCCATCCATCCACGGATGTAGTTATATTTTATTACGTCTCTCTTTCTCTTTCACAGAAACGGTAGCATAATTGAACTGTTATTGGTCACCCACTATTTTGAATTAAATGCTTAGCATTTAAGGATTAAACATGCTGCTCTAATTCACTGGAGCAAGGTTTCAAATTAAAAAATTAAAAAGAACAAACTCTGGTAATGAAAGATACCAGTTGTTTTTTTTAAATTTACTTGACAATATGCCACTTTTTCTTATATAAAAATTTGACCCGATATGAACAAATAGATGTCAGTTCTGTTCCAGCGACCCCCAATTAGTTTAGGAAGTCTCAAATATATGTCCACGAAATGTGTTTTTCATTCTCTCTCTCTCTCTCTCTCTCTCTCTCTCTCTCTCTCTCTCTCTCTCTCTCTCTCTGACA